ACAGAACTGTCTAATGTTGCTTAAAATAGTCATTTCAAAAAGAAAGAAATAATGCAGTAACTGTGTGAATCAATGACAAGGGTATACAGGAGCCAGCAAGTGGAAGATGCCGATGGTTACAGTGTCCATCACTGATGGTATTAAAGTAAATGAGTAAGTCCTTACCTCCTCCACTGAAACAGGCAGAACAACTCGGCTGTAAGAGAAAGAACACATCGCAGTCAGAAACCTCTGCCCAAATCTGCAAATCATTTTACATCTAACACCAGCTGCCCATTCACATGATGCCAGCTTATTGATGAACTGATGAAAAACTGCTTCCAGACTAGGTGGCAACATCCACGGCTGAATATTGAGGCAGGAAGAGGACCAAAAGTTCCTCTAATAAATGCAGATTCCACAAACTTCCATGTAAAGTTGCAGAGATGAAATCAGCGCATTTACCAACTGCTAGAAGAAGCAGCTTTAGCCTCAATGCTCAACTGCTCTTCATAACACTTTACCACTTGAATTTGGTTAAGATGGGAATTAGTGTCACTTTGGCAGATCCGCCAACAACAGCAGCTCTGGCAGGTCACTGCACCCAGGCCTCGCCTCAGTGCGTTTGTGGTCAGGATCTCTTCTGAGAACGGACTGGACCTCTTGACCGTGTTTTTGATGCTTTTTGGAGCACATAATGACCTGATAAATACTATTACTCTGGTTTGCTTCAGTATTTTTAATAGTCTGGTACTGCACTAATTAGTGAATATTGGTGTCTGCATTTTGCACAGATTCCAGAGACTGGATATAAAAGCTGGAAATTACCATTGGGGCGTCCCCTTTGGTTTCTATACCAATTGTTCTTACTTTGCGTGCAGCCACTGTCAGTAAGTGGCCAGCATTAGAGGCTTTAGTGATGAGCTACTTGTTAACGATAGCAAACTTGATTACCAAGTTGCATCCACAAACAGGCTGTCAGTTAAACATTTTAATAATCAATACAAATTATGTGCATTTATCTTGTTGGATGCATTTTAGTTTTTGTTGTATTATTATCTAAATTACTTTAATTCAACAGCAACCAGGACAATATTTGATTATTGTAATTATTTTTTTAAATTTACATTTGCTGAGTTTGCCCTAAAATAGAGGTTTTAATAAATAAATTCATAGAAGTTACCTTCTACCACAATATTTGGTGAACTCTCCTATAGAATCAGTGTTAGATTCTTCAAGTGCCACACCTCTGATGTCATGTTGGCTACACCCATCTTTTCTATGCAGTCTTTGTCCACCTATTTGATTTATTATTATTTTTTGGGTGGTGTTGGCTATTTCTACACCTTTAGGAGCGACTTACTGGAATACTTGTGGCACGTTCCTTTAACTGGGAGCTATGGAACTGATATAATTTCTGAGTCCGAGTACCCAGAACCTGGAGGCGCAGCCATAAAGATAGCAAATATCACATACAATGCTCCCTCTTCCAGAGGCTCCAGCTTGTTCAGACCCTGCACAACAACATCATGATTTATAGGAATGAATCATTATCACTAGGAAGTAACACGGCAGTCAGTTCTCTGCAACCACAGGAACCTAGAAATGAGGAAGCGGAAATTATGAAGCTGTAATCAAGACCGCTGCAGAACCCAAACAAACAATGCAGACGTTTTTAGAGGAAACTCTACGTGTGTGCGCATGTGCTCTGCGTGCGTAGCCTCCTCTCCTATGTCATAACACAATCCCCACCTGCTTTAGCCTGAGTATTTGCAGGCATGAAGGTGACAGAACATGAGGTTACGTTTCTGTGACCATAAACTGGAAGAAAAAGCAGCACTGGGCAATCCTCTTTAACGCCTGAGCCTCTTATTGTACTTTGCACTGTGGTCAAATGACAGCCATGTCAGAGGTGTCAGCCAGCCATGATTGGCACATGACACTATCGCGGTAAAAGCACCCGGCAGCTGATTCTTCCCATTTGAGGCGCATGTGATAAACTGGCATTATGAGCTCCTGATCTTGTTAAACGTTCTCAAACTCCTCCCCAATTCTTATGGTTTTCCTGACAAGTTCGAGGCTAAGCAAGTATGAATTACTATATTTTACATTTACAACATCTCGTTGAAATGTTACACTTCGGTTTATATTACATACTGTAATAAACTCTTTAAGTCAAAGAAAGTTTAACTTTTCGAGTTTTCTCGCGGCACTCCTTCCTACTAATCTGAAGTGTGATGTCAGCAGTGGATTTACCTCTGCTGACAGCGCCTAGCCGAACCTAAAGTTTGACGGTGTCCTGGAGTTCTGCCGTTTGAAACTTTACACCCTGTGACTAAATCATTTCCTGAGTGGTCCTTTATTTCTGCCATCCTGCTAACGACTCAGTAACACTTTAAACTGCTAAAAGCTCAGCTGACTTCAAAGAGCAAACAAATACATTCATCCTGCTGTAATGGTCCATATTTCAACACAAACGCGTCCCGGCTCGCTCCTTTGTCGGGTGGAAGGCGACAAAGTTCAGATACTCACAACTCTTTAATCAGCATGTCGGTCGTGTCCGTACAAAATGCTGCATACGAGATAGAAAACTTCTTCTCTGTGACAGGAGCACTTCATTCACTGCCTGCCGCTGGGGTTCACTCCGGGAAACTCCGGCTTTCCTTCCTGTGTGTGAGCGAAGGGGCGCGGCGGGAAGGAAGGAGGCGGCACACACCTTTAGCTCAGGTGCCTCCGTGTGACGTTCACGTGCAGTCGTGAAACCTTCGACCAGTCTTTAAATGAACGTTTAAGTTGCCTTTTCTTGTTATCACTTTCCTTTAAATATCTTCTCACAGTGTCATTTATTTAGTTTATTCTCGCAGCCAACACACCGCATCGTTTATAGCCTGAGCTAATCTGCAATGACCCTAGTTGGGGCCTTTAAAACACACATTAAACACACATTAAAACACAAAAATCAAACACAACAAAAACAGAGACTGCAGTATAATATAACATCATAGCAAAACAGCAGCTTATTCATATCTGTATGACTGGTTCATTTTTAATAAGTGTTTCAGTTTAATGTTAAAAATGCTCAACTCCTGAAGGCAAAGAACAGAAATGAAAATTTCCATTGAGGCGCCTTTCAATTTCCAGTGGATGCTCCACACTATACTGAACACAGAGCTCTCCAAGGAACCACAAGGTCACTGAGCATTATGTAAACAGAGATTAGATTAGTGAATGTGACAAAACTGTCAACATCTAACATGTTTACTTTCTTACGCACTTTGCAGCGGTGCACGCTTATAGGTTGAATGTCTGTTGTTGTAACTATTCTGCTACTGTCAATGCTTCTGTTCCGGTATCAAAACCAGTCAAATAATTGTAAAATAATGGGGTAGGTATCAGTTTAATAGCTCTGGTGGGAAGCAGAAACCACAAAACGGACGTTTTCACACACTTTAAAGCTCATCTTTACTGTCTATGCATGGCACACTGATTTCTGTGAACTTAACAGATGTGTCCGCATGTGTTAATATCAAATAGATGGTGCATAACTGAGACATTTTCTAGTGAGTCTCATGATTGCTTGTGTGTTTTTTTTTCATTTAGATCTTTGATCCTACCTCACCAAGTATCCGATAATAATGTACATTTCCTTGTCTTCTTAGTGGGTGGAGTGTGTGTCAACGCCCAGTGTGGTCTAACCAGTACAGAGAGGAACAGTTAACTCAGGTTGAACCTGTTGTGAATGAACTGTTTTCACTGCTGCTGCTCAACAGGTTTGCTTTCAGACTTGACTCTCTGTTGCTTTACTTCGAAAACGGGTGGTTTCTGTCCTGCTATGCTATTTAACTGCAGATACCACAAGCTTCCATATTGTAGTACCTGCACATCTCTGCCATTGGAAATAAGAGACACAGCAGTACAAATTATTGTTTATTTTGCTTCATATATTGATTTTTTTTTTTTTAGTTGAAACAGCATCTGTTGGAAAGTCCAAGACAATGGCTATACTGTGGTACAAGACAAAAGAAAAACCAACATACACTGTAAGACAATACAAAGACATTCTTGTAAACATCAGAGGTAAAGAAGCATAATAAAAGACAGAAAAACTAAAATTAAGCATGGTAGGTAGATAAAAAAATGTCAGAGTTTCAGCTCCAATCTAGATTTTCTATCAGTACACAGTGACATAAAACACAACACACAGAAGGGTTGTCTGGGAATTCATCATGAGAAAAAAAAACCAAATAAGTCATCAATACATCGATCAATAAACCAATTCCAATTATCAGAGGTTCGGGTTAAGCTATGAAGGTGAGGATGCCGGGAGGATGGGGTGAGGTGTTTCAGGTACACCGATGAAGGAAAAGTGCTGATTGGTTTACAGTTTGTGAAAAAAATAAACTCACTCGTCCACAAAGTGTCTGTCTTCACATGACATTTACATGTGATGTTATTCCTGCACAAGCTTGTACTCAGAGGACACTTCTTTAAGTTACAGGAAACACCAGCATGCTACCAGAGGCACTCTCTATGGAGTCCAGATAGGGCTTTAATCATATGAAGGACAACTGTACCACAAATAAAACTGTACATTTGTAAGTGAAGATATGAGCACTGACTTTACATTCTTTACATTTCCATTAAAAAAAAAAAAATCCATTGTGTTGTATCCCACAAGCACAAAACTGTTATTGAGAGGTTGTCTTTGTGTGGATCTGAATTTACAAAATACAAATAAAGATGGCAGAATGATAAATATTTAGATCTGTTCAGGTCTGATATATCCAATACCTTTTGTGCTAGCTAACTGCTCCAAACAACAAGACATGTGGACGTATGAAATAAGATCTGCATTTATGGAAATACAGTCAGTCAGGATTGTAATATATGACCAAAAAGGCCACCATTCAGTTAGATAAAGAGATGCAAACACCTTTAATTACAAATGCACACTTTTTCCCTATCATCCAACTAAAATCATTTCTGCACCAACTTTAACCCATACAGTCTTCTACTGATTCTTTAAACCTTAATTAGTTCATCAAGGATGAGATTGTTGCGACTGGTTCGTCCTGTGAAGGTTGCAGAACTGAAAGACGAGTCTCTGCCCCACTGTCCAAGCACAAAAAGGCAATAAAAGGAACGTGTGAAGCAAGGGCATTATACAAAAATAACTGAATTGTAAATTACAAATCTAGATTTTAAGTTCAGTCTACATTCTTTGCATCATGCACCATCCATAAGCAGCCATGCACTGTGTGATAGATACATGGGCAGGCAGGTCCATTTTAGAGGCTCTAAAGTGCATCGTGTGCCGTTCTTGTCTTAATGAAGTCATTCGCTGGGAGCATATGATGGCTGCAGAGCTTTGTCTCTCAGTTCTGTCAGTAAACATTTTAAGGTGTGCTTGAGTAGGTAGCACAGATGAAAGGATAGATGAATGGATGATGGCTAGATGGGAGGAAGAGCGGGGCTAAATGCTACCCAGATCCACTACCCCTATCACAGTGAGGAACTCTGAGGGTCATGAGGCTGTCTTTGGATGTGCCTCTGTCACCGTACTGCAAGTTGGGGGCGGGGCGTGTCAGAGGAGCTTCTCTGTATGACATTTGAGGACAGCAGACTGAATTATTATCTCCCTGCTCCATCGTCTACACACTCCATGCTTCTGTTCTGGGCTTCTGCTTGAAAGACAAAGACTGCTTTATTGTCTGTACTTAGTCTCAGAACGCTGGTGTCTTTCCTCAGAAGCTGGAAGATTGTGTCTGTTTCACTCTGCTACCATCAAGCTAAATCTCCCTTTGTCTGTAAGAGGTGAATTCAAGAATCCCAGAGTTTGTGTGACCGAGCAGAAGTGATACCAAGCAAAACATAATCTGACTGATTCTTTGGAACATGCCTTAAGTTGGTAATCTGATGACCTTAACAGTGCCTTAAAGCAAATGCAACGGACACATTTCTGTGATTAAACTAGCACCTTTTTGTGATTTGGAAATGCAGTCCACTGAATGTCCTGTCTGTCTGGATTTCAGCATGTTATACCTCGCTGAAGACTTATTGCTACAACCAATCAAGATCCTAAAGTTCACCTAGCAACCACACCAACCTTTGAAAACACAATGTCTAAAATCATTTCCACCTTAATAGCTTGAGATCATGCAAAAGAAATAAACACCTAACACACAAGATCATATTGCAAGTAAATACAAAAAAAGGTTACATATTTCAAACATATGGACAAAGAAACAAAACAAAAGAAAATAATGGCAACAGTAATAAAGGACCAGCACCATCGCTGGCATCATGCAGTGTGTGTCTAACCCAGTCACGCACACACTGAGGCTATGTATCGTGCGCTGAGCTCAAACCTGTCCAGGTTTCCATCTAAACTGCTACCAGTGCTGCTGTCTGTGGGTTCTTATTGAGTTAATGCCCTTGTGCACAAGAGAGCACGGAGATGCCGTGGCCCAGCATCTCCGTGCTGAGTGGGTCTGAGTATGTGTGCTTCTTCTCACCGAAACAAAAACCAGACCATCCTGGGCAATCATAAAGCAAATGTCTAAAACCTTTGAACACTGCCACTAACATTTGTTTTGGCATCTTCTTCTCCTGTGGTCTCTTAAGTAGGACTAGGAGAAGCTAAACCAACATGAAATACAAAATGGCAGACATGAAGAAAAAAGTGAGAGAGGAGGAACCTTTGGGGAGGTTGAAGCAGCTGCTTCTTTTCTCTCCCTTTAGTCAGTTTTCTCCTCAGTTCACGGGTGAAGTCAAGGAACTGAAAGCTCTCCATGTGGAAAGAATGTGTGTGTGTGTGTGTGTGTGTTAGGGGTTCTTCACAGAGAGGGTGAAGGAGGTGTCACAGTGGTGTTCAGTCACATATGGGTGTCAGTATGATGGTGGAAGTGTGTGCATCTGTGTGAGCATGCGGAATGTACGATTTGTGAGTGTGAGGTGCGGCGGTCTCAGAGTGAATTCGTTCGTCACATGTCCCACAGTAACGTGACCTCAGTCCCCTCCATCTTTAGTGTAGCTCATCTACTTTGTAAAAATCGTCTTCATGCCCGTCTACACGCAGGCCTCGGGCGTGCTGCCGTTGTTCATCTTAACGTAGATCTTGGGATCTTCGTCACGTTCGTCTCGGAGGCGCTGGAGCTGGCGGCTGTGGTACAACAGGTAGAAGGGCAGGCAGAAACCCAGCATGCTCAGCACCAGGAGACCCACGTTCACCTGGGCACCGCGTGAGTAAAGCAGTTAGATAGAATGATATGGTAAACTTTGAATACTACACTCTTTAAAGCCAGTATCTCCATATGTGCATCATCTTACCCATAGGGGGTCTTCCTCCAGGGGTCCCACCATGGCCATGAAGAGAGGTTGCTGGAGCAGGGCGAACAGAGCGCTGATCAGAGACTGCATGCCTGTCAGGCTGCCAAACTGAGAGGATGGATACCTGCAGGGGATAAACAGCATGAGTCATATGGGAAATTTGAATACATTTGTCACATAACTAACCTGAGTGAACTATCAGGCCCATTAAATCAATTTACAGTGAGTCAAATTAAAAACAAATTCACAGCCAGCTATATATCGCATGCCCCCAGACACACTGTTATGTAATATTCACATCCTGTGTAGGCTCATTTTGGATAATACTGTTCCTGCAACTCAGAGGTATTTTATTTCATTCCAAGAAAAATGCCCAATCATCATTTTCTCTAAATGCGGCAGTGTCAGCTAATCTCCAGCTGCAGTCATTTGGAAATTTTTCATAAGATTTTTGAGCTCTTATCACCCTGCACACAGTCGCAGGTCAACAGGCAAGAACATGTGGCTGCTACAGGCCAAAGTGTGAGAACACCTCACCTCAACTACTTAATTATAATAGCCATTTGCATATCTCCATAATAAATATGCAATGTCTATACATATATATACTCACTTCTTTTACATGCTTATAGTCCATTTTTAATTATGTGGAGTGCTATTTACTGCAAATATAATATCTATACGCAAGAAACTGTTTATCCAGTTTTAACAGATTTATAAACAGAATCCATTTTAGGTGAAGACAGTTTTATTCTTTTTTTTTTCACATCAGATTTGGTTAGCTTGACAGCTTTTGTTTTACATTTTTCAGAATACATTTTTTGTTTATAATTTCAAACATTAGATGATAGTTGGGTTGTTTTTTTGACCAAAGTAACTGTAGTGTGAAAGTTTAGTGTTAAATACTAAGAACATGTGACTGTGAGCCAGACTTCATGGCTTAACAGCAGTGGTGGACTTCCTTTTTTTGCTCTAATACGGGGATGTCAAAAACATGTTGCATTGTGGGCTATATACAGCCTACTTTAATCTTAAGTGGCAGAATCCGAGAAATTATCAAAAATGGTAAAATGTAAAATTACCAAAAAAAAAAAAATCCCACAGCACATTGCCCAGAATGCCCAGTAAATATAAAATATACAGTTTTATAAAGTTTTTGTTAATTTGCATAAAATGTTTTTTTAAAACAGTGGGAAAAAGTGTTAAAAAAGAAGACATCTTTTTATAGTAGACAAATTTTCTATCACTTGTTTATCTTAATTTAGTAGTATGAATGGCAATGAGGGAGGGGGTCTTTATTAATAGGAAAAGCGGGACAAAATTTATGCCCTCCTTCATTTTGTCTTTGCTGGACCAATTCTGGCCCACAGGCTTTATGTCCAGAATCTTGTGGAAAGTTGTCCAAAAAGAGTGATTGCTGGCACAGAAGGACAGAAGAAGAAATGCCTAAAATTCACTTATTTTTAGTCACTTTCTGTATCTAGTGTAGGACAGCATTAGGCTGCATGATTCCTTACTGGTTTGCCATCATCTTTTAAACGTGTCACACACTTACACAGCAGCATAAAGCCCGCCAACTGCAGAGTGGATGAAGCCTCTCACAATAGTGTGCAGGACAAAGGAGACAACCTGAAGTAGGAGAGAAAAGAGGAAAAGAAAGATTTTTACAGTAAATACATGCTCAGGGCCGAGCTGCTGGGTTTTCACTGAAAAACAAAAGGGTTTGTCTTTGACAAATGAGATTCAAGAGAGAACAAAATAAACTGCAACAACATTTTTGTCCATTAGGTGGCTCCACATCACTTAGAAATATCAGCAGCTGCATTGCCATGTGAGTGGTTTGAATATCATGTACATCACTCTCTCTCTCTGCAGTGTTTAGTCTCCCTCTAGGGGAGACGTACAGCAGCAGCACATGCAGAGGAGCGTGAACCCACACCACCTAAACACTTCAATAAAATGGCTCCCCCAGCCTCCTACTGCATACCTGAAGTGGGAGGTTGGGGATGATGCAGGTGACTCCAAAGCCAACAAGGAGTATGTTGGTGAAGATAAAAGCTCTGGTGGCATTGACGATCTTCTGGATCCGTTTGTCAGGGCGACGGGGCTGCCCAGGCTCTCTGATAGAACAAAAGAAGAAAACATTTTAAAAAAATTGAGAAAAATAGAATTATTTGTTCCTCCTTAGCGCGCACGCTGACCTCTTGGTGCTCTTGTCGTTTTCATCCTCACAGTCTTTAAGCTTCCAGTCCATGACGTAGCCAATGACAGGAGAGGTGACCAGACATAGGAGCTGGAGCACGCCAAAGATGGAGGTGTACACGCTCACTAGGAGACAAACAGCGGCAGAGGCAGCGTTAATACGGTTTCAGGGTGAACATCCGGTAAACAGTATGAAGACATCAGAGGGTGGTGCACACTGACAGGAATGGAAAAACAGTTTGCAGATGTCATGGAGTTATTGGGGGGGCGGGGTCATGCTCTAGACAAAAAAGTGGACAAACAGTTTAGGGTAGGGAGGGGGGCCTCAGGTCTCTTACCCACTTCCATCCTCTCCACTGCAACAGCAGGAAGCCAGCATGACAAAGATGTCAAAGAGGTGTTAAAGATAAAAACGCAACCACTCTCAAAACATGTATAGCTTGACACACTAACAACCACACACACCTGTGCTGAGGTCTCTGCCTGTTAGGGACTCCAGGATAGTGTTCATGGCTCCCATGTAGAATATGAGGCGCAGCTGAGTCACACACATGGTGATAAGGCTCAGCAAGAAGATGGGACTGAAGATACTCTTCATGAAGCTCTGAGCTGCAGAGGAAATGAGAGAAGTCAGGGTGAGATCAAATCACTGTGTTAATATACCACAAAGATATTAACCAAAAATATTGGATAAGGAGATTTTATTTCCTTCTGTACACAGTTGAAATCTCGTGGTAGGGGAATTATTCAGTGGAAAAACCAAAAAGCTTCACAGGCCTTTAGGGAAACATCCAAATCCTTTTACGGAGCAGAAAGTTCTATAATCTATTTTTATGACACTGCCTGCATCAGAAGATGTTTGCAAAATCAACTTTATCTGTGCACGATGTAGGGAACACTAAGAGCAAAAGTCAATGTAAGGACTAAGATCAACTGTTCATTGCTTGTGGGACATGATAATCAGTTTTCAAGTGTTCAGTGGTAAAAAAAAAAAAAATCATAAAATATATGAGGCCTAAGTTGTGGTACACTGAGGATGACTTTAGGCACAGCAGTGCTTTGAGATGAAAGTCCAACATGACTGTGCTAATTTGCATAATGAGTCAGCATAAAGGTGTACTGTTTACCACTTTATGAAAATAATTTACTGCGCTAGCAGGGATGCACTAAAATCCTGAGCCAATACCAAGAGATGTATTTACCATATTTGTTTCTTTTCTCATTGCTATTCATATCATATCAGTCAACTAGGCCAGTATCAGTCAATATCGACCTATATCAGGCTCTAAGTTCATTGCTGGTTCGCTGAGTGTTAATGTTAGCATTCAAATGTTTGCTAATCAAACAGGAGCACAGCTGAGGCTGATGTGATGTTCATTAGTTCTGAATGTACCGGACTGACTGATACGTTGGCCTGTTTTTACAAGTCTTTACAATTCATCCTGGCAAGACTACGACGTCTGCCAAATTTCATGACAATCACTACAATGGATGAGTAGGTAATTCACTGCAGCCGAAGATGTCAGACTGCTGTAACAGCGATTGTGATGTTTACAACATTTCCAGGAAACTGATTTTTTTTAAAGAAAAAAAGATTGCTCATTTCAATAAAAAATAGCAACGTACGAGTGTATTCATAGCATCCTGACAAACAACCTACATGATGATGACCTTGTTTGAAGCCTCCACTATCAGCACCAACAAACTTTCATCTAAAGTACAGATGGTCAAACATGCAGAGTCTCTTTTCACTTTCTAAACAGATGGAAAACTCCACTGGCTGAGAGGAACGGATGAGACTGACATGTAAATTTTCCCACTGGCACCCAGGTGTTATGGTGACATCTTAATGTGAATGAACGTCTGGAGGATTCAAAGGAAAGCGGGTTCTAGGAAACGTTGATCATTAATGAATCCTGTGGATAGAAGTGGAAAATGGACAGCTGTCCATACAGAGAAACCCCGGACACACCAACTAATGATGGGTACCCAGATGCTAAATAATTTATAAGAGAATACAGCTGTTAATCTAAAACTAGCTTATATTTCATTTCAACATTTACAAAATCTACCAATTTATTTACAAAAAGTTCTTTGGCCTTCATTCTCTGTCTACAGCTCTAGTACAAAGTGTACTTAACATACCAAACAAGTGCTGACTGTGCCGGTCCAGATACATGATTTAAGTGCATTCCTAACAGAAAACACAAACATTTGAATCTGACCTTGATCCTTATATCTGAGGAGGCAGGAGGAATAGGCCAAGGCCTAAGATGCATGTACTCTGCAACCCTCACAGCTGCTTCAACTTACAGCAAACAGAGAGAGGAACAAGGTTGTGTTCGAGGGTGTAATATGGGCCTCTTTAAACATCCCGACATGTCCAGCTGTTATGAAACCAGCCACGGGCATCCTGAATGCACTCCAAACACACACACAGTCAGAAATTCACTGTAATGGCTGATACAGTCCACCGCAGTGCTTCTCTAGGGCTCCCTGCCAGCGCGACACACACCTGCTGAGCCCCTTTCTAAGAACAGGGTCTGAACCGATTCCACGGTCCGTTTGGTACCAAAGAGACCGAGAGAGGTGTGACAAGACTAACCCACTGGGAGTCCCTGACCCTGTTAGGAAAGCCAGGAGGGACTGAAAAAGTGCATGGGTAACAGAGGTTACCTTAGCATGGATGTGATATTTTTTTGCCAACCAACCTAAAACACTACATACAGTGTTATCACATTTTAAAAATGTAAAAACTAACAGAAGTGTTAGCCTTTTTTTAAAATTTCACACTTTTAAACTTCATCTGAAATACATTGTTAAATATTCTATGTAAATAATATTCATTGCCAAAATAAATTACAAATTTTTAAGTATATTAATAAGTCTATTGTCTATATTTTAACTTGGATTTATGATTCAAAGCACACAGTAAGGACATTAAGTTAATTTTTAAAAGTTCTATAACACTTTGCACTTTCACTACACTATAACAATGGAATTCAAGTCTTTACTTTTCATATCAGTGGGATTTATTTTATTTATGTGGGATTCCACTTGGCATCAGTCCTTTCAAAGAGAAGAGATACACTTTTATGACTTGATTACTGGCAAACTTAACACACTTAGCACCTCTTTTGCTCAGTCCGTTTCAAGTCTAACTGCACCAACTGACTGACTTTTGAGTTGTGAGAATATTCATAAGCTAGTATCTACTCAAGAATGACTAATTTGATCACAAGGTACACTTGTGCTGACTTGTGCATGTTTTTGGATTTCTTCCTCTTACAGACAGCAGTTATATTCTGTCGGCAGCTTGCTTAGATCCCAGTTTTGACGACCAGATGGCAAAGAAAGCCACTGCTAAAAACTGTGAATGGGCTTTTACAGTCTTTCAAGAAACATAACTGTTGCTCCAATTCAACTAGTTTCTATTTTAAGTTCATCCTGTCTTTATATAACAGACTTTAGATGTTAGAGCATATTCAGACTTACTTTCCTCCTGACTCTTGCAATTCACCTCCAGGTCAACGGTGGACAGGCACAGCTTGTTGGCCTCTTGTGTGGACAGCTCTTTGGAGGGTGCCTCCTGCTGCTTTATGGCATGGCCTACGCTCAGACGGCGTCCCACTGTGGTCACCTGCCGATAAAACTGCTTCCCGGTGATCTTATGGTCAAATCCCAGCCAGCTGAATTTGATTTTCACCCTGAGAAAGGAAAGTAAGAAAGAAGGGGAAATGTAAGCAGACCCCGAAAGGAAGATGAAAACAGGCTAAGGAAACATTAAAAGATCCAGGTGAATGAGAGCAAAGTAGGCCGATCATCTGGTTTTATGGTCTTTCCCCTTTAGGGCTCACTTGGTCTCCACTGCATTATTTTGGGATTTACTGCACATAAGTGTGTGCCCTTGCACGTGTATACAATCTTGCAGTGTGTATCAGGTAAAGCAGTGATCTGTGTGGAAAATCCAGAATCCCTAGGCTCAGTCAGAATCCTTTTTCAAGCAGGTATAACTCGAGCTTAGCTATTAATACTGCAGTGGCTGCTTAAAAACAATAGCTGGAAGCTACACATATGTTCATGCGGCTTTGTGTGCATGCCAGACTAAGTATGCCTGTTTGTCTTACGTGAAGTCCATGTCTTCTGGGCCAGGGAAGGGCTCCAAAGGCCAGTTGATGAAGCAGTTCAAGAAGACGAGGCAGGCACAGCCGGCCCAAACCAGAAGGATGGAGATGAATGTGGCACCCAGATCATAGATCACCTACAGGCAGGAAGATGGGACGCACACAAAAACATCATAATGGAGAATCAATAACACACTCTCCAGTTGCAGGGTTATTCCTTCTGAGTTAATATTACCCTTTAGGAAAATCTTTCAGTCATGGATGAGGACACGTGGATGTTTAAAGTAAATCAAGAATCAGCCACAGTAAGTGAGTGACAGTAAGTTACCTTGATGCCAGGGAAAGTGACAGCAGAGGAAGCATAGGATCCAATCATCAGGGCAATGAAGGTCGACCTCAGATCTCCAAACATGTTGGGCAGCTGTGAAGAGAGCAGACAGATCAGTTTACACATTTAACTGCAAGACCAAGTTCATTTAAATGCACAAAATGTCCACAGACTCATAAGAAGCAAAGCAGTCAAGCTTGACCTCTTTATGTCACCTAACTATGATTTACATTATCAAAAATTGGTGGCCAGGGGCTTAAAGGAGGACAAAAAATAATCAATAATCCATAGCATGCAGAAACTGCGAAACAAAAACAAAGATAAAACAGCTTTCTTGTTAGCTGTGTTATAGATGAAGGCTTTCGAGTGTGAAAAGTGCCCAGTAGGAGGCGACTCCTCTCATTGCAAAAACAAATCAAATGCAAAACAGCCATCTACTCGCTTGAGAAATAAACTTACCAAACATTTTCCTAATATCTGTAAGGGCTCAGTCGCTACTTTCAAGTTGTCTGCTTCCAAATGACAGTCCCATATAAAGCAAAACAGAAGATAAAGCAGCGTAAGGTGTGACTACCCTGTGACTAGTAACTACTACATGCGTGTGCAAAGCCCTGAACTATTCCCCGTGATGTCTGTGAAGGTTCTCAGTCATCCAGGTCATCGTAGTCAAAGGAGCTTGCAAAGAAAAGCATCTGGACTTCTTTAAGTTACTTGAAGACGTTTCACCTCTCATCCGAGAAGCTTCTTCAGTTCTAAGGTCAAATGGTGGAGAG